ACCCTCTCTGGACACATATCTGGAGTGACAGGATGGGCCAGCGTCTGAGCAATGAGCAGAATCATCTCTTGCTCTGTGCTTCCTCTGCCTCAGACCCTCTCTCCCCCACCTCCATCTGCAGACCACTGAGCTGTAGGTCCCCACCCCTCCCTAGACGTCCTCTTTGAGGATAAGAGCCTAGCACCTGCCTGAGGGTTGACGGATTAGGAGACTCATGTGTCCTCACGACCCCATCCTAGCTCCCAGCTCCTCTTCTGTGGGACCCGCCAGGTACAGACCTGGGCAGCAGACAGGCCTCAGGAGACAACTCATTCTCTGAGCTCCAGCAACCTGCTGGCTATGGGCCAGGAATATCCCATAGGCACTGTGTATACAATACATTCTTCAGCCCAAATCTGCTCAACTCCTAGTGCTCCCACCCCAGGCACAAACCTCTTCCCCAGACAGCCAATTTGAGTCCTGCAGATTCAGCCCCCTGTTGGCTCTCTCGAGCCCTCCTCACTCCATCTCCAGAGGCAAAGGTGCATTTCTGGCTGCCTGAACCATTGCAGCAGCCTCCTCCTCACTGGCCTCCTGGTTTCCTGTACCTCGCTCCCCTCTTCTATTCATCATATGGCTCCTAGAGGACTTTGGATAAAGCACAACCCAGTTTGTATCCCTGATCTGTTTAGAACTTTTTGTTGAGAACCTACTACCTTCCGTAGAAAATCCAAACTCCTTCCTCTGACTCTCAGGGTTGTTTCTGTTGGTTTTGGTGTGGTGGTTCTTTTCTTTCCCCAGATCATCTCCTGTCACGTGCCCTTTCCAGCCTCTGCTCATTCTGGACTCTTAACAAATTTTCTAAGTTGATATCTGGTACCCCTTGCCCTCCCCGTGCATGTCCTGCCCTCCATCTTCACTGGAGGAGCTCAGAGGTCACCTCCTCCATGGAGCCTTCCCTGACTCCTCCCCCAGTCTGGGTCGCATACCACTCTTCCTCCTCCTATATCCCTCTCTGTGTGTAACCATGGCTGTTGGTAACCTCTCTGAGAGGAAGGAGGGGGCTGCTAGCCCAGTGGCATGCTAGAGCTGACTTGCTTCGGTTCAATGGAGCCTACTGTGCACTTCTCTTTCCAATTTCATGTGCGGTGGCATCACGTTGGTATCTTAAAATTGGCTGTGATGGGAGCATTTCTTTTTGCCATGAAAATAAGCAAAAGCTACAAATCAGGGCTCTGTTAAAGATTTAGAGTCCCTGGGTGGTGCAAATGGCTAATACAATTGGCTGCTAACTGAAAGGGTAGAGATTACCGAGAGGCACCTTGGAAGAAATGCCTGGTGATCTACTTCCATAAGAAGAAAAATAAAACAAAACAAAACAACAAAACACTGTGGAGCACAGTTCTGCTCTGACACACATAAGGCTTCCATGAATTGGAATAGCTTCAGTGGCAACTGCTTTATTAAAACTCACAGGCATAGCACTGCTTGGGCTCAGCTCAGGCATACTAGGACAGGTGTACCATGGACGGCTGAATGATGGGTGCATGGATGCATGCACGGATGCATAAATAAAAACCACCTGGGCTCCATGCACTGCCCCCTAGTGGACAGGGCACACACACATGTTCAGCCCCATCAGATCATCCTCTACTTTGACTCAAGTGGTCCCATTTCCTTGTTCCCACTATTCCCTTCCTTTGGGAAGGTCAATCCTTCCAGCTCTCCATCCGCAGGGTTAAATGGAGGGGAGCAGGAGAGTGGGAGCAGCATGAGACCAGCCTTGAGCAGGAAAGGGCCTCACAAAATGGGTATTTTCTCCTCAGTTTGGTGAAGAGAGGCAGGGGCAACAGTAGCATTCTCGCAGGACATCTGAATGATGGGCAAGGTAGGTGACTATGGGGCAAGCACAGCTCCTGAAGAGGGCAGCAGCACTGGGCCAAGAGAGAGGATTAGCAACATGTTCTCAGTGCCCCTCCCCAGATCTGGTCGATATGAGGATCAATGGACACAATCGCCTCATTAAGGGCACCGCAGGAAACCTAGGAGGCGCTGGTTCCATGGCCTGGCAGCTTCTGCAGACACCTTCGCTCGCTCGCCATCTCTCTCACCTCTCTTTCCCAAGGCGGCTCCACCTCTCTTTTTATATGGAAGGTTCCATCTGAGTATCTCTCTGTCTCTGCTCTTTTGCTGCCCACCATGCACTGGGGTCTCAATCGCTGTCTTCATCTCCCTCTCTGACTCTCTGTCTGTCACCACCTCGAACTTCATCTCTTCATGTTTCCATCCCCCTTGACTCTGAGTCTCTGTCACCACCACTCCTGTTATCTCTATGGCTATTTGGTCTCTGTCTCCCCTCTATCTCCATCTCTCCTTTTGGGTCTCTGTCTTCTTCATCTCTGGGTCTCTATCTTCCTCATCTCAGGATCTCTGTCTCCCTCGTCTTTGGGTCTCTGTCTCCTCGTCTCCGGGTCTCTGTCTCCCTCGTCTCCGGGTCTCTGTCTCCCTCGTCTCCGGATCTCTGTCTCCCTTGTCTCTGGGTCGCTGTTTCCCTCATCTCTGGGTCTCTGTCTCCCTCATCTCTGGGTCTCTGTCTCCCTCATCTCTGGGTCTCTGTCTCCCTCATCTCTGGGTCTCTGTCTCCCTCATCTCTGGGTCTCTGTCTTCCATCTCCCTATATCCTTCCATCTCCCTCTCCTCAGCTCTCCAACAACCCCTGACTCTGTGCCCCCTGCTCTGTGTCTCCTGCTGTGCTTCCATCCATCTGTCTCTCCCTCTGTGTCTCTATGTCTCCTGCTGTGCTTCCATCCATGTCTCTGCCATCCCCTCTGTGTCTCTGTCTCTCGGCCCCTTTCTCTCTTCATGCCCAGCACCCCCTTCCAGCACCTCACTGGGTCCAGATGGCAGGACGTTCACGCTGCAGTGCCTTGAGCACAGGGCCATGACTGCTTCTGGGACTTCTCCCACCCCCGGACCATGAGCCTGCAGCCCGCAGTCACTCATTCACGCGGCTGGGGAGGCTCCCTCACCCCCACCGGCCCCTCAGCAACCAGGTATGGGGACAAACTCCCGCCTGGAGCAGACACTGAGTAGGAGCTCCCTGCTGCTGAACAGGCAGGAGAACCTGGGCGAGGAGATGCTGCAGGCGCCCCTGACAGATCACTTTTACTGCCTCTCCAATGGGGCGTCCTTCTTGACGTCTAACTGAAAGCCCTCGTGCTGTGGCTTCATCTGCCTTCAGTCTGTGTGACTCAGCTTCTTCCCAGTGCAGTCAGTCTCCACCAACAGCATCTGGCTGGGCAGGGCTTGCCGGGCATACTCCTGGGGGAGAGGGGACACTGGCAAGGCACCCCTTTCCAGGGAAGCTGAAGCTCAGGCTCAGATGCCAGCACAATGGGGTCCGCAGAGCCGAGAATCTGTTCCCACCCTTCACTACCAGCCTGGTAGAACAGAGCACCCCTCCCAGGGAGGCTGGCAGAGTGCGTGTGTGCACACACACCCACGCCCCACGCGGCCCAGACACAACACACCCACCACTGTGCCATGCACGCCCACCTGCTGGCACCCCAGGCGGTGCCCTGACCCCCTTCTGGCACTGCCTATGTTGGGAAGGAACTGGGCACAGCTGGCTGCAAGGGGAGGGGGCTGAGGCGAGAGGGAGGGTTGCCAAGCATGACATGATGGAGGGATACTGGGGGCCTGCGGAGCGCTAGGCCTGGCCCAGCAGCGTGGGCAGGGGCTCTCACAGCACTTCAGGTGCAGAGGTCAGCGGGATTGGAGGTCAGGCTTCGGGATCCCCTGGAGAGTGAGTATTTCACTGTCTGCTCCAGCCCTGGCTTGTACCTACACTCCTACGCTTAGGTGGGAGCCCCTGGTCCTGTGTCGCTGAGTCACCTAGATCCTGTCTTGCCTTGCACAGCCCCACATCGTAGAGGTCAAGGTGGGCGGAGGGGATGCACTGCTTCAACTTCACACCAGGAAAGGTCAGGCTCTACTGGCCCAGTTCCCACCCCTGGGCTGCCACTGCCTAGAGAGAAGAGCAGTGAAGAGCCGGTGAAAAGTGGCACCTGCCTACGGCCCCTCTCTTTCTCCAAAGGGGGCGGGGTACACCTGGGAGATCAAAGTGGCAAAGAGAGCTGACTTCTGGAAAGAAGGGAATCAGCCAACCAGGTTGTAAGGTGAAGGGGGTTAGGCCCCCAGCAGTGCCTGTTCTGGCCCCCACTCCCTGCTATGGGTGCAGCCCCATGGGGGAAGGGGGCATCAGTGCATCCCCAGACTGTCTTCGTCCTTGGTGTTGGCAAAGCACAAAGAGCTGAGAGCGAACAGCCACCTCCCCCACAGCCCAGATCCCATTGCTCGCAGCCATCGGCCCCACAAAACAAGCCTGCTCCCTCTTCCACATGACAGCCCTTCAAATATTTGAAGACAGCTCGCCTGTCCCTGCTGAGCCTCCTCTTCTCCTGACTAAACATCCCAGTTCTTAGAACGATTCCTCAAACGCGATGGTTTCAAGTCCCCTCGCCATGCTGGGCACTCTCATCCACTCTCACAGCGAGACTCCAGAGGCCGGCGCCCCGCTCCCTCCCGACTCCACTGGCCGACCTCCATTCCACCTCTCCTCACATTGGCCCAGCAGCCCTCCTCCAGGCAAAGGCAATCCACACCGCATAGTGAACCAGGTGGATATAGGGATTCACCACCGCACTCTGAACCCCTCAATAGTTCCCCCTACTACAAACTCTCCAACAGTGGAGATCTCATCGAGAGACTTGTACCCCCATTGCAGGAGTCCATACTCACATGCTGGTTCTCAACATTCATCCAAACCCTTTCAAGCCCACCTCCTCCAAGAAGCCTTCCTAGATAAAACATGCCCAATTCAATTCTGCCACTGCCCTGGCCTCCTCCCAAGTCCCCACGCATTGTTGCATCCTTTGCTCCCCCTCTCTGCCCTGTACAGAGTAGAGTGGACAGTGGATAGAAGGGAGTCCCCAGCCCCCTGCCCTTGCCCGTGACCCTACCTGCTCGTGGTATTCAATGCCCATGCTGAGCGTGTTGACCAGAATAGCGATCATGATTCCCCTGCCAAAGTACTTGCTGTCCACAATCTTCCGGAAGGTGTCACAGATCAGCCTCCAGAAGGCCAGCACTGAGCTGGGCTCTGTGTCCGGGCCCAGGCTCCGTCGCCGCTGGTTGTGGGGGTCCCGGAGGTCGCCGTGCTGGGCATCCTGCGTGAACTCATAAACTGCCTCGCTGTCTGAGTCAAGCATCTCATGGTCTGGGAGCTCCACTTCCCCTGCCCTGGCCCGGGCACAGTAGGGGCAGCTGTCTGGACCACAGGCTCCACTGTCTGCCTTCAAGCAAGGACTGGAGATCTTGCAAGAACTTTGGCAGGCACCTGGGACAGGAGAGTAGTGGTTAGAGGTAACAAGAGTTCTCACCTGGAGCAGCCCTGCCCTTACAGCCTGTATGAAATGAGTGTGGGGATTGGGGTGGTGACAGTGAGGGGGCATGAGGCACTTAGGGGTTATATGGGCTGAATACCTTATAACTGTGAACATCTTGAACAAGAAACAACAAGGCCTCCAAATTTACTACCATAGCTATTGGCACAGCATAGGACAGGGTTCAGATCTGTTGTTCACTGGGTCGCTGTGAGTTCTCCTCGACTCGACAGCACTAACAACAGCTACCACAGAGTAGATTCCAACTACCACAGAGTAGATTCCAACTCACAGCGACCCAACAAAACAGAGGCGAGCTGTCCCGTAGTGTTTCTAAGGCACTCAGTCTTTACAGAAGCAGGCTGCTACATCTTTCCTGCAGAACAACTGCTGAATTCAAACCACTGACCTTTTGGTTAGCAGCCAAATACTTTAATCTAGACCACATTTTGAAAAACCAACAATGTGCTTTAACCTGAAACACCCGAGCTCCTCCTAAAGAAGAAGATGCTCCCAATGCCAGCAGCACCCCACTGGCAGTCACTGATGGAGTGCCCTAGAGTTCAGGCAGAGAGGTGACCTTGATGTCCTTTGAGGTGAGGACCTCCTCTAAATCTAAGAATCCTCATTAAGAAGCTTAGAACAGCCTAGTCCCCATATCAACACTGGGCATCATTTACCAAAGGATTTTTAAGACACACGCACATCTACCCAACACACAGACATGCACGCACACATGTATATGTACACCAGAACACATGCCACATAAACCACACATACATGCACAACGTATTTCCATCTTCATACCACACTCGCTGTTGTTGTGGGGTGCCGTCAAGTCGCTTGCGACTCATAATGATCCTATGTACAACAGCCCTAAACCCTGCTCTATCCTGTGCCAATCACACTGTCTCTGACACATCCATCCCGATTATCCCAGTCACTGAATCAATCCACCTCATGGAGGGCCTTCCCCTCCTGCACTGTTCCTCCACCCTCCCAAGCATGATGTCCCTCTCCAAGGACCTGTCCCTCCTTACAACATGTCCAAAGTATGTCAGATGAAGCCCCAGAATCCTTGCCTCCAAGGAGTAGCCTGGTTTAACCCTCTCCAGGATGAATCTGTTTGTCTTCTTGGCAGTCCATGGTACATTCAATACTCTTCTCCAGCACCACAGCTCAAAGGCATCAATTCTCCTTCTATCCTCCCTAGTCATTGTCCAACTCTCTGATGAATAACAAGTGATTGCAAAGACCATGGCCTCTATCAGACACACCTTAGTCTCCAGAGTGACACCATTGCTGGAGAGGTCACTAACAGCAGACTTTCCCATCGCAATGTTTTTTTATTTCCTGGCTACTGGTGCTAAGAGTGTGGGCACACCAAATATGTACCTACATACACATGTACATGTACCTACCTATACACACTGGACACATAGATACATACAGCATCTGCACATTCCACACCTGCATGCCCTGAACGCACACATCAGACGTACACAACCACATACATGCCATCTGCACACCATACAGTACACACATGCATGTACATACCAAACACGAACCTTATACATGTGCACTCACAGACAGACACACAAATGCCATGCACAGGCACACACACAAGCACATTACTCTCAGACACACCTGCCTGTATGCACACATTGAACACATGTGTGTACACACATGTATGCATACACACACTGGATGTGCAGGCTGGCACACATGTCCCGCCCCTAGACATCACTTAAGGGTAGATTTGGTCACAGAATTTGAGAGGTGACAGGAACCTCAAAGACCGCCCAGGTAAAGCATGAGCTGAAGGCAACCAGCTCAGGGCCCATCTGTAGCAGGCACATGGGAGGGATGAACTAGCGCCACTGGTAATAATGACGGCCCCAGTTCCACCTGACACATATGTGCATGTGACTGGCTCGCATCCCATGGCAGGGAGCACTCTTCACACTGCATCATGTGATAACACCTTCCTGTCCCATCCAACGCTCCCACACAACATCCCACATTGCTCCACATGCCTGTCCTTCCTAAAGCTCAAGCCTGGACAGCCGCCACAAATGGTCTATTTGCTGGGGAAGAGCCTACCACCACTCTCAGACTTGGGGCCACCCACAGGCAACAAGCTTCTCACTCCCCACTGAGGTCCCACCCATTAGAGTAACAATCCCTCAGACTGCCTGCCGCAGTCCTGGGTCTCCTTGTAGGGAAAGGATGAAACTCATTTTCATGAGTGTCCCTTTCTTGGAGAGCACTGGGCACACTGTCCTCCGAGACTTAAAGCAATCAGGTCCTTTGAGCTGAACACCCCAAGTCCAAACCCCAGATCCATCCCACTTCCCAGCAGCAAGGCCTTGGACAAAGCACAAAATCTGTCTAAGCCCCTTTTCCTCACACACGCTGCTAAGAAAGCTCACCACCTGAGCTGTCAGGAGGATTCAGTGGAATTTTGCCCGTAGAGTATGTGACAAGCATGCTCAAGGATGAACTGTTACTATCATTCAAATAGCACAGAGTAGAGCACACAGCAGGCACTCAAGATACGACTGTTCTAAGATGCTGACTTAACTCACAGCAGCCTCAGATGACAAGGTAGTACTGTCCCACAGGCTTTTCTTTCCAATAGTCTTTATAGGAGCACATCACTAAGTTCCCCCCTCCCAAGACCTAGTATGTGGATTTGAACCAACAACCTTGAAATTAGCATCCAAATCATAACTGCTGTGCCCCTTCATGACATGATGTGAGATGCTGTCAAACTGACTCCAGCTCTTAATGCTTCTATGTACAACAGCAAAGCCCTGTTCGATCCAGCGCCATCCTTACAACTCCAGTGGTCAAGCCCACTGTTGCACATGGTAACTATTATTATGAAAACAAAACACGAACTCATTGCTGTCACATCATTTCTGAATCACAGGGACCCTCTAGAGCAGAGGTGTCCCGTAGGATTTCCAAAGCTGTAAGTCTTTTATTATTATTATATATTTATGTATGTACCGTCAAATAGGATCTGACTGGTACAGGAGGAGATTGTCTCTCCTTCTTCAGCAGAGCATCTGGTGGATTTGAACTGTGCACCTCTATGACTGCAGTGCAGCTTCTTGCCACTAGGCCACCAGAGCTCACCCAAAGCTATAAATCCTTATGGAAGCAAACTCTCTCATCTTTCTCCCATAGAGTAGCTAGTGGGTTCAAACCACCAACGTTTTGGTTAAGAGCTGAGGGCTTAACCACTGTGCTTTAGTATCCTTGTTATTATTATTCCCAAGTAGAAATTCCTGTTCCCATATTAACAGACAAGAAAAAATTAAACACCACTTGCAAAAGGTCATGAAGAACTGAATGGGTGAGTCCCACACCCTAGACCCCAAGTCCTCTCTAGGGCAGCACCTGATCCCCAGGCAAGGGTCACCTACCACCCCGACCTGAGTTCTCACCTGTGCTCTGGGTCTCCAGCAGCTTGTGCATAGAGCTATAGGGTCCAGGGGGGATGTTGAGGCTGGTGAGAGTGGGGGGCCCCGAGGCAGGAGCCACCTCGACTAGAGCCTTCTCCATCAGCAGCTCTGGTGGGGAGCTGGTGTGTACAGTGGGGTACACCTTCCCACTGGCCACAGTCCTGCCCGATGCCTCGGATGGCGACCTGGGAGGGGGCGCCTGGCAGCGGACGGGCTCCAAGTGGCAGTCAGCATGGTAGAAGCTGTGCACAGACTCTGCACCCCCCGGAGGCCCCCCAGACAGGGCGGGTGTCGAGGGTGGTGGCAGCATGAGCCGGCGGGACCCGTTGGCTTCCCTGTCCTGGATCTCCGGGCTGGACCTGGGGGCCCTGAGCGTGCCGTTGCCCAGGTGGTAGTGGTGGTGGTGGTGGTGGTGATGGTGCACTAAGTGATGGACGGATGGACGGCGGTGGGAGCGAGAACAGCTGCCGCTGGGCTGGGCATCCTGCCCTCCCCCTGCGGCTGGGCTGCTCAGGAGGCCTGCCCGGACCCCCGCCGCCCGGGAGACCCGGGCCAGCCTGCGGGCGGCTTTGCGGAGGATGTACACCAGGTACTTGAGCAGCTCCTCGTAGCAGCTGCCTGGCTCCGAGAAGCTGGCCAGCGTGCTGGCGTTGGACAGGAAGCGAACCCGCTGCTCCCGCATCAGCTGGCTCTCCCGCTGCTTGGTCTCTGAGAACTGCGTGGCAATCACCACCAGGCACAGGTTGATCATGAAGAAGGAGCCCACCTGTTGGGGTGGGAACAGAAAGAGGAGACGACCTGAAGAAACTTGAATCCCACTGCTAGGTGCCCAGTAGTGAGCACTTCCTGTGGCCCAGGTGCTGGATTTAGCTCTTACGTCTAGACTACCTTAAGGGTCATAGCACACCTCCGGGGTCACTAGCATCACCTCCATCCGACAGTGAGGACACTGAGGTTCAGAGAGGCTGAGGCATTTGCCCAAGATCACTCAGCTGAGGCTCAGTCACGCTGAGACGTGAACGGAGCACTCCGTAATTACAGGACGGTGCAGTTAAGCATGATGCTGTCTTGCAAGAATATCCTCCAACTCCCTGCCCTAAACACAACTATCCATGGAGACTCATTCTGTTAGGAATAAATTGGGAATGCGGTGGAAATGAACGTCATGGGGTTTTCAGGCTAGATTGACTGAGCCCTTGAGATCTTGGCAAAAAAAAAACATTATACACAAGATTCCTGTTTCGAATCCCAATTATCACTGCATGACCTTGAGCGAGACCCTTGACCCCTCAAAATCCTCATTTGACCAAGAGAACTAACGCTCCCTCTTCCCTGGGCCCCTCGCTCCCCCAGGGAGGAGGGATCCAGAGCTTAGGTATTAGCCCAACTACCACCCCACCCGGCCAACAATGCTCCCACTCCACTCCACGCCACGTCCACCCCCTCCGCCCCTGTCTCCGTATCTCAGCTTCCTCAGGGCTCTGAGGTGGTTATTGCTTAGACAACAATCCAGAATGTAGGAAATGAATATTTATGGTGACAAAGCAGATTTTTTTTTCTAGATCACATCCTAGTAATTATGATAATTAGCTTCACTAGTGTGATTCCAGAGAGCTGTTTGGAAAGATTTTTCAAGGGGTGTGTGGGAGGGTGGAAACTAGGCCCCTTACCTTCCTGTCTGCTCCCCTCCCCCAAGCTCAGGAGAGCAGTAGAGTGAAGAAATCTCCCTAAGCACTGGCCTCATCCCCTGAGGTGATGGGTGGAGTGGGGACAAGCCTCCAACCAGGAGAAATTTGGGGTTCTGGGGAGGCCTCAAGGACTTGGGATAAGCAGTTTCTTAGGACCTCTGTTGGCTCCATCAGGAGCAGCCTTACCCACTCTACATCTCTCTTAGGAACTTGCTCTAGCTCTTAGAAGATCTCAGTACCTTAATCTCTGTACCTCAATATCTCAATACCCCTTCTCTGGCTCAGTCACTGACTTCTGGTGACATGGAAAGGTAGCTGGACTCAGAGTCAGTAGCCTGGCATTGAATTGTCAGCTCCAGTCACTTTGTTGCTGTGTGATCTTGGCCAAGGGACCGACCTCTCTGAAGCTTACAGTTCTCATTAATGAGCTGGGCACCATGATCCCTACACTGGACACCTCTGAGGGGCACCATGAGGACAATCAGAGCAGCAGAGGCTATAGCACCCAGCTGGTGGTGAGACACCCCCCTCCCCCTCCTTGTTGAATGACTTAAATCTATGGCATATGCAAAGCACATAGTGGGGTCAGATGCACAGGAAATGACCATTTCCTCATTTGTAAAACAGAAGATGATTACAGGATGGTGGCGAAAATTGAATGGGCTGGTGTACAAAGTGCTGAGATATGTTTAGCTGTGTGTAAGTCACAATAAAAAGTGCTTAGACCAGGGGCTGGTGTCCAGCAAGTGTCCAATAAATATTAGCAACAAATAGTAGCAATTAAATTATTAACTATGAATGGGAGTGATTAAAACTATGAAATAGTGCTACTTTTGCCTCTGCCGCCATCATAACATCCTGGAATGTCTGAGGTAAAAGGAACCGAGGGTCATGCAGCATCTCCCAACACTAAATGGTGGGGATTTGGGGCCGGACAATTTTTTGTTTGCAGGACTGTGCTCTCAGGATGTTCAGCAACCCCCTTCCCACTCCTCTGCCCAACAAAATGTCAACAAAGCTCCCCGTTGGCGTGGCAGAAACCAGAAACTGTCCTTAGTCATTTCCAGAAGTCCTACATGGGAGGAGGTGTCACATCATGCAAGGCTGAGAGTTATCTGTTTTATGAAAGCGAGGGATGAGGCTGGAGCCTCATGGGGAATCACAGGCCCAAGGTCAAACGGTGGTAAGTGATAGAACCAGGCCTTGACCTTGGATTCCCTCTTGACTCCTCTGGTGTCTTTTCACTACAGGACAACTGCTTTCACTGGCTGCTTCTCTATGGGACATGTTCTGAGAGCTAGGAACCTCAGACCTAATCCTCTGTCACCACTTCCCCAGGAAGCCTCCCTCCCGAGGGGCCTGAGGAGTCACTCACGATGATGAGGAGGATGAAGTAGATGAAGTTGTAGAAGGAATGAGCATCCATCACAAAGTACATGATGTCCACCCAGCCCTCCAGTGTGATGACCTGGGAGGAGGCAGAGCAGCAGAATGACACCCCCCCCACGGCCCGCCCTCCGTGGGGTGGGGGCCTGACCCCTTGCCACCCTTTCGAAGGACCACTCAAAGCCAGAGTGTGTCCTGGGACATGCATCTGGGCAACCAAGCAGCCCTGCTCTGCCGGCACCGGGCGGCCCCACCTGGAAGATGGCGATCCAGGCGTAGCCGATGTTGTCGAAGTTGATGGCACCCTTGAAGGGGTTGTGCTCCCCTGCGGAGCAGTTGGTGTAGTACTGGTTCCAGTTGACACAGGTGGTGTTACTGGAGCTGTTGTAGGCCTCATAGTCCAGGCCGCAGGGCGGGCCGCCGCCGCCCTCCCCGCGCAGCGTGGGCACGCTCCGGCAGGACCGCATGCCGTTCTCCCGAGGCTGGGAGCAGATGAAGGGGCTCTCATCCTCGTTCTCTGTCTGGTAGTAGCGCTCCAGGTCCACGCTCAGGGGGCTGCAAGCAGGGAAAGGAGCAGGGATGAGGCTGGGGAGCAGGGTCTTCCACGGAGGGGGCCCACGAAGGGAGGGCTAGGTGAGGGGTTGAGAGGCACAGGATGAACAGAGCAGGAGATCAAGAGTGGGGGCCAAAAATGGGGGTGGGACAGGGATTTGTGGGCTTGGATCTGAGGGTATTGGGAATGAAGAGACTGAATTCAACCCTCAAAGGTTGAGGATTGGACAGCTATGCCCTAGAGTTATGGTCTTCAAACGCTGTTGCACAAGAGAATCAGCAGAGAAGCTTTTAAAAATCTCCCCCAACTGGCCTAAACCCCAGATTAATGAAATCAAAACCTCCAGGGCTAAGACCCACGCATTAATAAGTTCACAAACTGCTCAGGTGATTTCAGTGGCAGCTAAGATCGAGAACCAGTGTTGGAGAATAGCTGTCAATGGCAACAGGAGCAGGGCTGGTCTGGGGCCGTCCCAGCCCTGCAGTCACTCCCAGGTCAGCCCCGCTGTCCAGCACTCACAGGCTGAAATTCTCGGGCAGGAAGCATCGATTTCGGAGCAGCCCGGCCCAGAGCTGGACGCCCACAATGCCGAAGATGAAGAAGACAAAGAAGCAGAGCAGCAGGACGTTGCCCAGCATGGGCAGCGTGTCCAGCAGCAGGGTGACCAGGATGCGCATGCCTGTGGGATACAAGTCACCACGCTGAGGCCTCCGGGCCAGCCGGCTGGGCTGGCTGCCACGGGGCTGGCAGCGCTCCCAGAGGGGCCCGCGGGGACTGAGGTGGACATGGCCTGGCTCAAGCTGGAGAGGAGACCAGCAACACCTTTCACTCCCCAAGCAGTCCCAGGCACTCCCCCAGTGCACTCCCCACCCCCCAGCCCCCATGTCTGGCCTGGGACCACCAACCAGAAGCCAGTGCAACTATGATTTCCAGGCATCCCACCCCAGGCCCCTGACATCATCGCAGCATGGATGACATCACCCCCAATTAAAAGGGAAGTCAGAGAACAGACAGGACTTGTCCTGGGTCACAGCACTGAGAATGCAGGTGCCAGGATGTAAACCTAGGCTTTCTGCTTTCACATCCTATTCACGCACATGCGTTTACACACTCACCTCCAACTTCTTCCTCTCAACAGACACAGTCATTCTCTCTTTCTAAGCTACTGTCATTGTGGTCACTGGGGAAACTGAGGCAGGCAACACCCTCCTGAGAAGCTGACAGGCAGAATCCCACTTTGAGAGCCAATCATCTGCCATCTTGCCCATTGCTTTACCCTGGTTTTGAGCCCCTTTACCCCCCAGATCGACAAGCAGAATTTGAAGAAACACAGAATGCTTCTCAGGAGTCCAACAGCAGACCCCCCCCACACACACACAGAGAGAGAGAGAGAGAGAGCAAACTCCCATCCTGTGTCCTGCTCCTGCGCCAGCCCTGTTAGGGACACTTCCTTTCTCACTTCAGATCTAAGACTCAACCACTTGCCTGAAGCAACCAAGCCCTTGTCAAACATAGATCTCTAAAGACTCCCCAAGTGCTCCCTATGGCCTCCTGTGCCCCCTCCCCTAGGGAAAAAGCTTCCAACAGCAGATAATTACTCCTCTGGGTGACTGTCGCAACTGGCCAGGCCCCTTCCAGCCCAGCTTCCTCATCCCTCCCCCCTCCTCCCGCCCCATCCCCCTCAGCTCCTCTGTGCTCCAACTGAGACCAATTCCTCAGGGTTTGCATTAAGGGAATTACACCGGTGGTTAGACAGAGGCCTATAAATCTGCCAGCCATCACCTGGGGCGGGAGAGGAGGTGAAGGCAGAGGGAGGGGCCCCCACCCTGCGTGGACTGCCTGTTAACACTAACACAGCCGACACCCCAGCTCTAACCCACCCAGAGGCGGCTTGCACCATACACCCAGCAAAGGGGGCTGCTGCCTCCTGCAGCAGCAGAGCCCCGGAAACATGCTCCCACCCCCTACTCCAACTCCAAGACCACAGCAGGGGACCATCTGCAGCTTGTGTAGGTTGGGGAGTTGCAAGGGGGCCGAGTAAGGGTGGGGGGGCAGGCTGAAGGGGGAGCTGGAGCTGCCAAAGCCTGGCTGGCTCAGGGAAACCAATGCGGTTTAATTTAGATAATGGTCCCCGCAGTCGCTGCAATGGGCTGGAGGGGGTGGAGAGGAGGAAGGGGACACGTAAGAGGGTGAGGCATGAAGTGATTGTCTTGAGTGTAGTCATGTTCAGTGTCCCAGTGGGGTCACACCAGTGAGACCCAGGCTGAGTGTGGGGTTGCTTGGGCTAGAACCAGCTGCCAGTATGTCACCTCCCCTCCTGCTGGCCTGCCTGCCTCTCCACTGTGCCCACCACACCTTTATTCCAGTGAGGCGACCAGTTATTGAGGTGAAGGAACAGGGCTAGTGGAGACCCTGAGCCCAAACTAGGCTGAAATGATGACAGGAGAAGGAGCTTAAACCTCAGAACACCAGAGCCAGGCTCAGAGGCCCAGCCTCCCAGCTGAGTCCCTCTCAGAGGCCGGCCCCATGGCCTCAGCCTGGCCTGTGCCTGCAGAGGAGGACTGAGGTGTTCACATTTCCTCTTGGGGATCTTTGATCAGGATCTGGGGACTAAGGGGTCACTCACTAGGCACCCTGTTGATGGCCCTGAGCGGTCGCAGCACACGGACGGTCCTGACAGCTGAGAAGCTGACGTTCTGCAGGTCCAGTGAATACTCCAGCATCCTGCAGGGAGGGACCCAGAGGGTGGCCGAGAGAGGTCAGTGAAGAAGGCTTTGGGGGGACATGGGGATGGCAGCAAACCTCTGACTCCACCCCCTCTTCCACAAGGTACTCTGGAGTTTGGGAACTCTGGGAACATCTCAAAGCCAAGGACAGTCTTCATGTCAGAGAACAGGGGCAGAACTGGTAGGAGGGTGTAAATGAAGGAAGGGGTCAAGGAGCCAGCCTGCTTTGGGGAGGACAGGGCACCTGATGCTAATTCTGACTCATGCTGACCCGTGTGTCAGGGTAGCACTGAGCTCCATAGGGGTTTCAGTACCTAATTAAAACCGCAGACTGCCAGGCCTTTCTTTCAAGGAACCTATTGAGCTTCTAATCTTTTAGTTAGTAGACTTGAACTTGTAATCTTTTGGTTAGCAGTTGAGTCGGTTCACTATTTCTACAACTCAGGACCCTCTTGGCGTGTAATCAAGGGAGAAAGCAGGAACTGGGATTGGGCTGGAGTCCAGAGTGGGGCCCTAGAACTCTGGCTCTGGGGACTTGACTGCTCTGACCCTTTGCTCTTCCGTCCCAGCCCAGGCCCTCACCCTGCGATGACGATGAAAAAGTCAAGCCTATTCCAAGTGTCTCCCAGGTAACACTTTTTCCCAAAGATGCCCAAGGCCACCATCTTCACCACCATCTCCACAGCAAAGAAGGCAAAGATGAAGTCATCAAAGGCCTGATGTGGAGACAAGAGGCTGCTGAAACTGAGCAGGGGGTGGGGGAACAACCCGCCCCCAGTCACAGCTCCCACCAATGGAGCTGGAGCTCCTTGCAGACAAGGAGCATGGGGGTGTCATGACAGAGGTCACTCTCCCCACCCTGTCCCACACCTGCAGGATCCGGCAGCGCTGGGAGTCACAGGCAATGTCCTCACACGGCCGGAACATGCCGAGGGTCACACAGTTGAGCAGGATGACCAACATGCTGATACGCTCAAACCAGGTAGCGAGGTCGTCAAGGAAAAACATCTCAACAGGCTTGGTACTGATCCCATCCATTCCCCTTCTCCCACCTTGGCCTACTGATCTCCCAATCGCACCTGAAGCGCTAGCAGGCAACCAGGTGGATGGGGGACCCTGGTCTGCACACCACACCAGCTCCCAGGCCCAGACTTACCCTGATCACCTCCCCTCTCTGGACCCAGTTTCCTCCTCTATTAAGTAGGAGAAGCCACAAATACCCTGACTATTTGCACGAGCCATTTAGGGAATAAAATCGATCCAGCTTATGGAAATGCCAGACACCAAGAGTTTGCTGCTGAATCTGAATCCCATTCTCTCTACCTCACAGGAAAGATGTGAGAAGCAAATGAGATGATGTATGTGAATGTGTTACACAAACCTAAAGTCGTATTATGCCTGCCTTACAGTTTACCACGCACCTTCACACCGTGCCACATTTCAGGCTCACCACAGCTTGGTAAAGCATCCAAGATAGAAGATTCAATTCCTCTCAGAACCTAAGGAAACTGAGGTCCAGAGAATCAGAGACATGTGCTGAAGGTCACCTCAGAAGCCAGGATAGGAGTGCAGCTTCTCACTTCCTAAAGTACTTCCTCTGCCCACCATGGGTGCTCTGGCATGCAGGGAAGAGTAGCCATGCCTCCAGCTACCAGGAGACCAGCGAGGCAGACATCAAACACCAAGAGGGGCTACAGTCGCGGCCTTCATCCACAGCACTGGACACCGAGACTGAGTCTTCTCCCACCACCACCCTCTCCCCAGACCATCCAGATCTCAAAGTCATAGCTTCAGTGTCCAGACACATTCACACATTTCAGTCATGAGGCCCCATGACACACCACGCACTGCTTAGTACAAGCCCCTAGCCCATGCAGACTTGACAGGAGCCCCCAACTCACTAGCCATGTCACACTCTGTGGCCTCCAGCAAAATCCCAGCTCAGATTCTGGCTAAAACAGACTCCCTTCTGGTTCCTTCTAGACCCTAGTCTTTCCATGCAGTAGACTCTACCGAAGGACTCACCCCTAGCCCGTCTGCAGAAGCATGGATTCGACTTCTGGACCTAAGCAGTAGACTCACAGAGAAGCGACCAAGCATCCCATTTTTCTCAAAGAAAATATCTGGGTTATGAGGCGGGGGGAGGGGCAGAGAGGCTAGAAACAGACAAGCAGAGACGGGGACTGGGGAAAGGAGGCCGAGGGAATGGAGGTGGTAAGTACCACAGCAGCTCAAGGTGAACTCCACCAAAGCAGACCCAATAGAGGTGGGGAAAAGGTCCAGGAGCTGCTGATCAATCAATCTTCCTGTCTCAACCTCACTCCTGGAACAAGGTTTCAGCCAGCCCCAAGAGAGAGACAAGAACCTCAAAGACCTTTCTCACAGATCTTTCCAGGCACACCCCAGCTCTTTTGAATCTCAGACTGCACCCCCCAGTCCCTTGCCATCTCCTACCCACTCCTCTCTCACCTGGTTCTCCTACTCTGGACCTCCTGCCACCTCTCCTTGGTACTTAAGAAGTTCCCTGGCACCACAGCTATCCCTTACAAGAATAAGAGTTAAAAGAAAAGCACTGTCAGTCTTGGGGGGTAAGTGGATAGAAGGGGGAATCAAAGGAGTGCTCTGTTTCCATGGAGCTGTTTTCCTGAGTGGATCTTTCCCCAGAATGAGGTCAGCCAGGGGTCACCCTGGAAAAAAGGGGGCAGGGAGGGAGCTCCCTTGGAACCATCATCTGGAAAGGGAAGAGCATGATTTGCCCTCAAGAGCTAGCCTGCTTTCCCAAGCTGTCCCCTTCATTTCCTTTGCAGAGGAAGGGGGTCTGGGAAGGGTCCAAGGGAAAAAACATCCCTATGGGGTGTGGAATTCTCCTTGGAAGAGGGGCCGCCAGTGTAGCTCTCAGGATGTCTGTATGAACCCTCCAATGGCAGAGTTCCCACTGTTACAGACTATGGACTTGTGTCATCTCCCCTAGGAAGGGTCACACTGACCCCTCCTGGCACACAGTAGTTGATCAATACCTGGGGAGAATGAGTGAGTGAATGAATGAATGAATGTCTCTCCTTGGGTGCCAGGCATGTCTTCCCATTCATGCGCTCCTGCCTCCTTTGCCTTGGTAAGGATGAGTGACTGTAACCAAGCTGCAGTTGAGGGAAAGGCAGAGGGTGACACCATCCAGGAGCCATGCTTCCCTCCCTTCTCCCTTTACACGTGCTCAGATGGAGGCTCCTATGGCCAGAGTCTGCTCCCAAACAACCTCACCCACAGCTCTTAACCCTGGAAGCCCCTTCTCAAGCATCCGCTTAACAATTCAACTCACTCTAAGGGATAGTCTGTGCCCCCTCTACATCTCATCTTTCACTGCAGGTAAGCATAAATGGAGAGGGAACAGAAATGCTTACGACAACCTGAATCTAGGAAAAAAAGGAACTCTGTCATTAGCGAGGAGTGGGAGAAGGGTCCTTCACCCTTTTCAGGGTGGGGCTCGTTACCCTGGCAACATAGCCGTATGTCACTGTGTGATGTTCTTCTGTTGCCATAACAACGGGAAGATGTGTCACCAGGTGGTGTGGATTGGCTGCTATGGTGATTAAAGGGACCCCTCACAAATGAACACCCCTTACCCAGACTGCTGCCTCATCCTCCCGTCAAGAAGGGGAACTGGGGAGACCCACAAGTTATTGAGTTGGGGGGAACCATGTGACAAATCTCCATGACAACCAAGGGAACGGGGGACACTGGTTGCCATAGTGATGATGAGAGACCTGTGCAGTCACATGTCTACTGTTGCTATGGTGACTGTCCAGACTGGAGTGGATCCCAAAGGGGGAGGGGGGACAGTAGAGGGGAGGATCTTTCTTCTCACAACCCACCATCAAAAGCACAGAAAAAGGAAATGTCAGGGAGAGGAATCCCACTTCTATCCCTCCTCCTTTTTTTCTCCTGGGAGAGAGAACTAGAGCATGTTATCTCCACAATTAAGTCCTCTCCGAGGGCTTTATCTAGAGCCCATGGCTACCCAGCAGCTGTAAGAGGGAAGCAGGGGGAGGAGGGAGGGAGTGCTGGGGCAACTCCAGGGGTACAAGGGCTCCAGTACCTCCAAGTGAGAGGGGAAAAGATCCTCCAGCTACCCTATTCCCCAGCAGGAGCCTGGAAATCTGAGACCCAGGAACGCTGAGGGGGAAATGGGCCTGGACCCAGGAATCCTGGCTCCGTAAGGGCTCCTAGTAAGGGATGAGGCGATGGGGTGGGGGCACGTCTCAGGCTTAACCAACCCAAAGGTAGGTGCCTATCATATTTGGCAATCCCAAAGGTGGAGAGGGATCTAGGGACTCCCCAGCATGAGATGAAAAGGGGGATTCCCTCAGCTGAGCCCCTACTCCAAGGAACCCATCTCCCTGTGGTTTCCCCCACCCCTCCAGTCCAGTGTGTGGGTGTGTGGAGAGAGGTTTCCAGCTGAACTGAAAACTGAAGCCCACAGAAAGGCAGGCAGCCCCACCCAGAGCCAGAGATTTGAGACACAGAGACACCAGAGAGATGGTCGCTGGAATCTCCAGGAGGGGAAATAGGCCAGAAATCTGATTCAAACGTCTGTGACTCTGTGTGTGTGTGTGTGTGTGTGTGTGTGTGTGTGAGGGGGAGAGAGAGAGAGAGAGAGAGAGAGAGAGAGAACGCAGTGGTGTCTGTTGCCATCCTGGCTGAGGCAGGCAGGGTGGGGTGAGAGCTGGGGCGGGAGCAGGCGAGGGGTGAGGGGGGGCTATGTGGCAGGGGTAATCCCAGGAATGGCTCCAACTGGCACTAGGGGTGATGGGGAGTCCCCCAACAGTGCGGTAGAGCAAAGCGGGTGGGAAGGAGTGTTGCTGACCCAGAAGGAAGATGGGGGTTCTGGATTCAAAAGGGTGCCAAGGGGTATTCCATCCCTCCTCACCATTCCATCTAGCTCCCTAGCCCCAGCCCTCTCCCCAGAACCCCTTCTGGGGAGCCTTGGGTTTGAAATGGGAGGAGGGACTGGGGAGAAGACAGGAAGCACACCCCTCACCCCTCGCCATTTCCTCTGAGGACCAAAATGGAGATTTCTCCTTAGGTAGGAGAAACAGGCAGACTGAGGGCACTGGGACAGTGGCAAGGAAAGCTCCTGAAATTCCTAGTGCCCTTTCCGCTCCAGACACACAGACTCAGACACGCACAGTGACGCACAATCAACACTCACACTCACTTCTGGAAGCCATTAGGGCTCCTGCCGCTCAGGCCTCCCCCTTCTCCCCCCCCACTCCTGGCAGGCTCCCCTCTCCCCCTCTGGCCCCCCTCCCACTCCCCCTCTCGGCATCCCAAATGCCAGCCTGTGATTTCCAAATGAGAAAAAGCTGTGCTGGGCTCTGAGCTTGGAGAAACTCCTACACAAACTTCCAGATGTGACACAACAGCCGGAGAGGGAATGCTCAGGATCTCCTTCCCGGGAGGGGAAATGCACTCCCTCACACTTGAAGAAACACACACTGGAAAGTCCAACCCAGTCTCCCCTGGAACCTGAGAGGAAGTGGGGGCCTTTCTAACTGTGTCCAGGAGCACCCCGGTCTCTCTAACACCAAAACACACCCTTCTCAGACCCTCGTTGTTTTGAGGCTCCCCAGCACACTCAGAGACACCCCACTTCCTACCTGGGCCTAGATCTCCTCTCTAAGAAATCTAGTCTCTTAAAGAGGCTAAGAGAGGAAAACGAAAGATGAAGGAGAACGCACCACCAAGAGGCCCACTAGCCTAGCCAACCACGCCATGTTTGGGGACATCCTCTTGTCCCTCAGGCTCTGAGTACAGACAAGAACCTTGTGGAGCCCAGGGACGCTTCACAGGTTCCAAATCCAAAGAGAAACGCTGAGGCCCAAGTATCATCTCAGAGCCTCTGAGAGTGAAAATACAGATTTCCGTTCAGACTCAGTGGAATTGGGGTACAGTTCAGGCATCTCCTTGTCATGAAATTATGCTCCATTATTATCCTCAACCAACCTAGGCTAGGCTGGCTCATCATCCTGACCGACTGATGCTACTGCCCTAAACCCCGGAGGACTGCCCCCCAGAGGCCAGCTGGCTCCTCCACTCCAAAGATGAGTTCAGCTCCCACCTCTCTTCTTTCATTCCAGTCCCCTCCATTTACCCATGCCAAGAACCTTCTAGAAAGAAGCCTACCACCCCCATCCCCAACCTCCATGAGCACCTGGACACAGGGCAGGTGGGGAAAGAGCCGAGCCAAGAGATTTGTTTGAGGGGAATGGTGGGAAAGAAGAGGAGAAAGAGACTTCCTTACTTCTCCAGAGATCCCTGGGGTAGGAGAGAGGTGGTTGGGGTAGAGAAGAGGGGCGCTCAGGACCCACCCTGCATGTGAATGTGGGTGTGGGGTGCTCTCATTCTCCAGCTCCAGCTCTGCCCTGGAGAAAGGCTCAGAGGGGAGCCCCAGAGCATAAGACCATAAGACGTGCCCATGTGGAAGGTTTGCAGATCTTCAAGGCCCTCACTTTCATCTTTTATGCAGCTCAGAAAGTAAGGAGGAACATGAAGTGGGGAAGTGACAACCAGGGAAGCTTGCAAAGACCACCTGAATGAAGAGGATGGAGGGTGAGCCTACAGATCTGCTCTGCGCACTAGAAGAGATGGAGAGAGAGAGGATGGGATCAAGGTTTCCTTTTTCCCAGAGTCCCCACTGGGACCCTAGTGGCTACAAGTGAGATCTAGAGTCCCTCATCCTGGGTCTCAGAAAACCTCTGAGCTGGGAAGAATAGGCCAGAAAACCTGTCAAGACCTGAAAGGCAGTGCACCACCCCCTGATGTACTGCCCCCCCTCAGAAACCAAGAACCTGGAGGCCCGCATCAGTCAAGCGAGGCTTTGCTGGGGTGGGGTGGGGGAGCAGAGAGAAAGGGGCTAGAGGTGTTGGGTCAAGGGGCTGGGGTCCACACTTTGGACTGGGCAGGGCTGCCCTGCTAAGTCCATCCTCCTGGAATGTGAGGCTTGCACTTGCCAAACTCATCAGACTTAAGTCTGGCCACCAGCTTACAATACAGAATCATTGTCGCCCCTCCACCGCCCTCAAATACTTAGGGAAGTCTGCAGTCACTGTACCTGCTCTGAGGGCAGGCAGAGGGGAGCACCTTGTATTTGTGAAAGGGAAGGAGTAACTTGGACTGGCTTCATCCCATCCCCCCACACCCTTGCCAGAGCTCTGACCCACAGTCTTTCCCTCCACAAGATAAAATCCAGCTCCCAAAACTCGCCAACCCCAACCCTCAGCACCCGGCCTGGAATAAAGAATGGAGAGGAGGCAGGGGCGCTGGGCACTGGGACTCCATGAGAGGGGCTCCTCTTGGGCTCTGAGAGCAGACAGCTCCTCCACCACATCTTGTTCTCATTCTGGGCCCCTGACATCAGCCGCGGCCGGAATCTCCTTGTTGTTTCTCCAACCCGCGGGGGGAAGGGGGAGGGGGATAGGACCTGATCCCCGCCCCGCAACCTCTCAGTCTGGGTCAGTAAAAATCCTCGGCCTCCAGGGCCAGGTGAGGAGGACCCGATTCGGATTCCAGAATCCGCCGCAAACTTTGGGGCGGGGGCAGGAGGGAAACCCTGGAGATTGCGGCCCTCCCTCCCCCGTGCCCGCAGCTTCCAGCTTACCCACCCACCCTTCAAACTCGGAAAGCTAACCCAGCTCGCTAACCTGCGGGCGGCCAGGGCCCGGCACCCCGGGCTCCCCACATCTGGACGATGCCGACCCTCCCCTGCCCACAGCTGGAACGCGTCCAGGTGCCAAGCAGCAGGCACGTCTCCTTTCCTATCCCGGTCTCGATCCCCATCTCACACCAAGGAGAGCCGAGGTGTGCGTCCGGAGGTGGGGCTCACCGGAGGTGGGGCTCTCCGGGGGGCACCAATCTGACCTGGCCAGGTCGCCATCTCACTCCGACGCCCCCTCCCTTCCCCTCGGCTCCCCATCCTCACTTCTCCGACTCACCTCTCGCTGAGTCCCCTCGGGCGGCGCGGCCCGCCCCCCTCCGAGCCCCCCAGCCGGCCGTGCGCCCCGAAGGATATGGGTTACAGACCGTGCGGAGACACCAGCTCCGCGGGCGGCTGTCCTGGCTCAAGTAGAAGAAAACCACGGGCGCCAGCGCGGGGTACGGCAGCCCCTCGGCCTCGGAGTCCGCGCTGCCGGGGTCCTTCTCCGCCGACCCCGGCCCCGGCTGGCCGCCGGCCCCGGACAGGTCGTTGAGCTGCAGGACGCTCGGGGGCTGTCCCGACTCCTCGGCGCCCGCTCCATCCTCCTCCTCGTCCATCCTCTGGCCAGCCGGGGCCCCGGGCGGTCCGGAGAGGGGCGAGCGGCGCCCCTCAGAGGAGGTGTCCTCACGCCACCGGAGGAGCCCGGCGAGGGCGCATCTGGGGGGCTCTAGGGCGCAGGCTGAGCCCCCAGCAGGGCCAGTTCAGCCCAGCTCCCCCTGCCCGCAGGGGCATGCTGCCCGCGGGGCGCCGGGCCGCAGGGGAGCCCCGCCCGGCGAGAGTCCCGCTTCCCCGGGGCCCCCCGGGCCAGTTGGCCGGCTACCCCTCACTTTGTTCCGGCTTCTCCGCTTCGCGCCCAGGCTCTAGTCGCCCGACTCGGCGCCACCTTCGGCGAAGCAGCCCCAAGAGGGGGAGAGAGAAGAGGGCGCACCCGGTGGAGGGCGAGGGGGTCCGGGAGCGCGCGCCCCCTCTTCCCGCGGCGTAGCTGGAGCGGGATCTAAGGGGTCAGCATCGTCCCGGCTCCGCGCCAGCGGCCGCGGGGGGGGAGGGGAGGAGGGCTCTCTTTGGGGGTGGGTTTGGAGGGGGTGGGGGGCGGCTCCTTCCTCCGCCCCGCGACCGGCTCACAGTCCGGGAGGGGCGGGGAGACGGTGGGGGGTCGTCCTGGGTGGGGGTGGAGGCAGAGCAGCCGCCGCCGCCGCCGCAGCCGCCGCGGTAGCCGCCGCTGCCGTAGCTGTCGCCGGCGCCACTGCCTCCTCGGGCCGAGACGCGGAGCGAGCGAGCGAAAGCGGCGGCGAGGAGCCCGGCGCACACCACAGCTGGATCCCTCACTCCAACTTCAAGCCTCGGCCCCGCCTCTCCTCAGCCAGCCTCTCAGCCAATCGCAGCGCTCCGCCAGCACCTAGCCATGCTCCCATTGGTCGGCCGCCGTGGCAGTGCGGGCGGGGACACCAAAGGGAGGGGGGAGAACCACAGCTGGAATCCGGTTCCCACCCCAAAACCCAGGACCGCCTCTCTTCTCGCCCCTGGGTCCATTCCCGAAGATCGGAGCCAATCAGACAGCCGTCCATACCGAACCCACTTTCTTATTGGACATTGGGGGGGTCTCTGGGACTCCCCTGGAAGGAACCCTCGGGAATCAAAGGATTTGGCGCGGGGTCCCAGAGTAGCGCCGCTTGCCCCCAGCATTCTTTGTCCGCGGCCTCCGAATTGGGCCGCGGCCACAGGGCGGGGCCCAGTACGGGGCTGGCTGCTCTGGAGGAGAAGAAGAGTGGGCGACCCGAAGATGATTGGTGTGACTAGGGTCCCAGCAAGAAAAACTGGGTCTCCACCTGGTAAATTCCCCACATGAAGTAGAGCCTGGGAGCAGAACTAGGAGAGGAGGAGTGAAACTGGGCATCCCGGGGGTGGGACTTCAAGCTGGAGAAGGAGGGTCTTAGTGAAGCAGGCGGAGCCTAGGGAAGGCCGGATCAGCATGGTCTGGGCGTGGCCTCTTCCAGCCTTCTCTGCTTGTTGGTCCTGATGCCTCGTTTACTTCTGCGACTTTGACCCTGACCCCCTAACCCTAAATCACTGGTCCTGACCCCACTTTGATGACCTCGGCTTCATTTCCTTTACGCCTAGGAGTCTTTAGGGGAGGTGTGGACCCCACGCGAGAGTTTTGTGCTTTTAACACGTGGCCTCGGGCAGGTTGCGCCAGAGTGCAGAACCCAGATTCCAAGAAACAGCTGCAGGGAGCCGCCGATCTGCAGAACTTGGCCTGAGACTCTTATCCAGTAAAGCTCCCACCCCATCTCCGCTCCATGCAATTTCTCCCTCAGTCTATCAAGCCTCGGAATGGCTTCAGGGGGAGGCTGTCTGCGGGACAGAAGCTTCGCGGGGTTACTCTTACAGCATACCTCCACCCTACCGAGAGCCGGTCCTCGCGGGTCTGCGGCTGCCCACGCGCGCACACGCACGCGCAGACCCTGGCCCTCGCCCCGCCTCACCGCCCCGAGCCCCCGGGCTCTGTCAGTTCCTGCAACGTCTCGCTGCCGGCGCCACCCCAAGAGGCAGTGGGTATTCGGGATCAGAGCACCGCGGGAGTGCTGGGCCTGGTAGGTGAGGGGCTTTGAGGGTCAGACCTCGGGAAGCACTTCCCCAGCATGTGCGGGAGGAAGGCCCCGAGGAAACGAGTGGCTTAGTTCCCTCTCTGGAGACTTCGGGGCGCTTACGCCACTGCAGAGAGACAGAGGGATGGTCCTGATGACCTCCAGCGCCCCCGCCCTTGAGAGGCTGCACCACCCACACAGCTCCTGCGCGCCTCCCGCTGCGTGGGGCCCGGGGCGTCGCGGCTCCCGCCCCGGGAGGGGAGTGTGGAGCGCGGAGCGGCGGCTGCGCTGTGGACTCCCAGGTTGCCCTTTCGCGGAATCCGGGCACAGAGTTGTGCAAATGAGGCCGGGCTTATTTGCATTTCATGCTAATGAGCAGATCCCCTAAGTGCCTTTCTCTCCTGGCGGGTGTCTCTGCTCTCATTCCGGAGCGCGCGGTGTCAGTGTCTTGAACTTCGGGGCCATTTTCTGGGATAGGGGGCTATTTACGGTTCTCACGGCATGCCTCACACCCTCATCCTTCCTGCTGGCCTGCAGCTAGCCAGAGTCAGCCTGCCCTTTCAGGGTCAGGGTCAAGGCTGGCACGGAGCAGGGGTGGGGGGTGGTATGTGTTCCAACTCCTTCACCCTCTTTTTGTAGAAGGGAGAAATGAGGCCAAAGAGGCTTGCATAGCCCAATGGTCAGGTTTTCTGCCTACCAGCAGCAGGTCCACATCCATTACCCTGATCACCCCTGGTCTGGGCTTAACTGTGTTCTAGAACATATCCAGAAAGGGGGTCATACAAACACTTACCCATCTGGAAAAACAGACCACAGTTGCTTCCCTGAGTTATGGGCTTGGGGAGGCTCTAAACAGCATGTCAGAGATGCTCAGCTTAGCGGGAGTGGGAGCAGAGAGCAGGACTTACAGAGTAGGCAAAGGAATCTTGCACCATTTTTAACTTCCACCGTCCTCTGCTAAGCTCAGACATTACTCCTCAGAGTGGCCTTCTTTCAACAACTATTGCAAAGCCTAGTAAGGGTCAAGGTTCTAAAGATACAGCCAGACAAAAGTGGAACCTCACAGCACTTAGATGAGTCTACAATTCTAGAAGTGTAATGATTGTCAGTCGCCCCTTTAGACTCTATATTCATTCCCTGAAAACTGTCCAGTTTACTCAACAGGGTCTAGTCTAGTGGCTGGCACAGAGTAGATAATAAATAACCTAGGTGGGGTGAGGGAGTGGAAAGAGGGAGGAAACAACTTTTCTTGGGGCCTCAGTTTCCAAAAAAAGACTTTAGCAGACTGGCTTAAGTGTTTAAGCACTCTCCTGAATTTGAGGGGGGACCATCTCCCATGTTCCACCATCCCCTTCCTGCCCCTCTGGCCCACTCCTGCCTCTTCCAGCCCCCACCAGCCCTCTCACCTCTTCCAGCTTACCACCCCTCCCTCTCGAAGCCCGTCCAGTCCCCTCAGGAGCCAAGGTGATTTGCATATCAGCAATGAGACAAACATTTGTTCACCTCAAGATCCTAGGTCTTGGTAAGGGCTACTGCCCCATTTTTCAGATATGGAAGCTGAACTTCAGAGAGATGATGTTACTTAAGTGATTGCCCAGACTAGGAGGCTCTGTCTCCATTGGTCCTGGCCCTTAGCAGCTTCAGGGCAGACCTGCTGGAGAGCCAGGGATAGGGGCCACCCAGGCAAGGGACAGCAAGGGAAGAAATGTTACAGACTTTGATAATCCTACCATCTGAGCAAGATTCCTGTGTGCTCAGCCTTGCCCTCTTTAGAAAATGCAAGCACTCCCCGGAGAACCAACCCTTTAGGCTCGGCATCATTCCTCTGAACCAGCTTACAGAATCCCACTGCTGTGTGTCTGGTGCCAGGAGAAGGGAAAGAAGGGGCATTGCGGAAAGATGACTGAATGAAGAGGTGGAAATATGCCCCTTTCACAGCTGTGACTGGACCCCTGGGGAAGCAGGATACTTCAGTGCTTTTTTACTGTGCTTTGAAGACCCCAGAGAGACTAAAACATGCTGAATAGCCTAGGGCCAGTCTCTTACCATCTCTGAGCCTTAAATGTGTGTCTGTATAAGGCCATTCGTGAGGTCAGTGGGGCCATGGAGGCAAATGGCTTTGCAAACTGCCAGACTGTCCCAAAGCCAGGACTAGTGCTGCCAAAAAGGCCACCTGTGCTTCCCCACACTCCTCCCTCCCTGCAGCACCCCTTCTCCTGGACCCACTCTGATCTCCCAGCCCTCAGACTTCCTGGCAAGGGCAAGAGGGCTCTAGCCAGAAAGGGGCCAGATGACCTTGTTGGCCAGAGTCCTAATCCCCTCCAGATGGGCCGGGTGGCTTGCAGTGAAGGCCCAGCTGCCCAGCCAGGGCTGACCTCGGTCCCAGTGACCATTTTGCAGTATGTGTGACCATGTGCATGTGTGGGCATGGTTCTCAGTAGCCTGTGGAGTGATTCAGTCCAGCTTCCTGGCTCCTGCCTGCTACTTATCTCCCCCCACAAGCAATGGGGGAGCCTCCTGATCTCAGAGGTTACTTTTGGCTTTGCGCTTTGGGGCTATGACAGTGTCTAGGCTCTGCCAAGCCCATTAGGCCCCAGAGACAGCACCTTCCCCTTTCCCAGCCTACCTCCATTTATTTACCAGGCCTCCCCAAAGTAGGCTTCTCCTCCACCTCCGCTCCCCTGGAGGAACCTTCATGGGATGACTGGGGTCTGCAAAAATGGAGGTGCCAAAGATGAGCTCCTGAGCCTTTCCCAACACTGAAGGGCAGGGAGGAACCTCTTTCCCTGACACTGACCAAGGCACGGCTTCCAGCAAATAACACGTGAAAGAACCTCTCACGAAAGCTGGAGGTGGTGGTGTGGCCCTGGTGCAATCGAGTGAGGCTGAGGACTGAATGGACACCTCATAAGAAATGCCCTACCCTGAAAACAGAAGCTTCTAGAAAGCACCAGGCATAAGCAATTGCTGCC